TCTATAGCCATTGGGAAGGGGAACGGCTAAAAAAATCGGCCCTCACACCGCGTCAAACGAATGACGCAGGGCTCCTCACGCCCGTTTAACGCCGGCGGGGGGCGGTGTTTCACGCCCCCGGGGCGTTTAACGCCCCATAACGCCGGTGGGCGTGAGGAGTATTACCAGTGCTCTCATGAAAAACGTAAACTAGACCTATATGATTTTTTTAGGCGTCCTTATATTAGTATATTTAATATTATGAAATTGTGATATTGTGTAATTAAAACAAATTATGTAAATAAAATAAAAATTTAATTGGCATTACAAAAATTATGTAATTGTACGTGAACGTAAAATAAATTTTGCAAATTTTTATCTTTATATATAAGATTTGAGTGTCAAACTCACAAAAATCACATATGGCATGCTTATTTGGTGTTCTTTTAGCACTCTGTAGACCATCTCTCTAAAAAAAATTGACACATTTATATATTTCAAAAAGACTTATTTTCCTAATAATTAGGAAATTACATTTATTTTATTGTTGAGTTTTACTAGAATTGTCAAATGATTTTATTTTCAAAAAAAGTAAAAAAAAAGAGTTATGGATACATTTTTTGCATTAAAATTTTACAAATTAACACGTAAAAGTAATCACATTTATTTTACACCCAAAAATTATTGCGCTTGATATGAATTTATTTTTAAAAAGCAAAAAAATATACTTAGATGGGTTTTCAGACAGTATATTTCCAAACAAATCTAAAAATAATCACAGAAGTTTTGCTCTTAACTTTATTGAAATTAAAAATATTTTATAAAAACCTCATAAACCAATTATATCCGCATTAGATATATATCACAAAAGTAATTTTTTTTAAAAAAAGAATCACATTTTTTTATACATGAATTTAATCAAAATTCTACAGAGATCTGAACTGAAATACCAGAGCCGAGATCAATACATTGGGGTATCCTAGAATGGAGAATTGAGATAAAATTATAACTATAATCTTGGAGGGCTAAGATAAAAAGAAGTTAATTAGAAAGGATCATTTTGAGAATTTACTCTATGTTTAGATATGAAAATTATCAAAATAACCTCCACTAAATTTTAATTACAATGTACTGTATTGGTAAATAATGCTTAATTAGAGTAATTTAGGAGAATATCTTATCAAGAATGACCATTTTAGGATTACTCTAAGAAATTTATAAAATATAAATAGGCGACTAAAATATTAAAGTTCTTTAATTCGTACTATATTTAAAATTATATTTTCTAAAATTACGTACCACATTTTAAGGCAAATTGAACAATATGTATAGTATGAGGTTATTGACTCAATTTTATTCTTAAACTAGTATTTTGACCCGTGCCATGCACGGGGCCAAACAAATTTTTTGTCGATTCTTATTTTTTTTATGTAATATTTTTTGCGGATTAAAAAAAATAAATTTCTTACATGATTTTTAATACTATATACATCAACGTCAAAATAGAATAAATAATATTTGAAGAATTGAAAGTATGCAAAACAAAGATTTATTAAAATTCCAAAATTTTTAAAACACTTCAGGGTATACAACATTTTTAGTATGGTTGCAAGGATTTCTATTGTCATCTATAATAAACATTTTTAATCATGTATTTGTCTTCACTCGTGAAGCAACAACATAAAATTGACCATAAATAAATACTGACTTAGTTAAAATAATCTAACAAAAGATAATGTCTCACCTTAACTTTTGTTAATAGTCATAGCATAACATACAACTATAAGAAATTGTCTTTTATGAAACTTTGGGGGGTAGCCTTGGATCATATGGTACCAAATTTATTCGAGCTATGTAAATCTTTTGCCCGTCTCGATTTCTCGAAACCACGATTGCACGGTTAACATTTTTTTTGCAGCTCTTCAACAATTAATCTTGTATCATTACACAATCAAAATAATATAATCAGTACCCTTTTTTCAATACTATTTATTGGTTTGGGATTCCCGAATATCTGAACATTTAGTTTCATTCAAAAATTCAAATGTTATCCAATAAGCATCAACATCTATATTGGCATCTGTTTGCCATTAATAATCATAACTCAAGTACTCCTTTTTTAGAATGGGAAATATGACAAGCTCATTTACCATTTCAAAAACTTCGAAAGTAGGTGCTAATGGTGCCCTACCATTTCAATATGACAAGCTAATGATCAAAGAAATTTATAAAATTACGCAGATTGTAATGACATTACGCAGAACCAAGCAAAATTCATGTTTTTTCAATTAATTATGTTTAAAGATTATTTATAAATAAAAAATAAAACTTACATATTTAAAAACTACGTAAAGATTTTGTAAAACTAGAAGTGACAAAAATATTTATTTTATCAAATAATGAGTAAAACACACCAATAAGGAAAAGTTCACGTGGCTTTTGAATAGTGAAGTGTAGCATTCTTTTTTGAAAACAGATAGTAAATCATTTTAAATATCGACCATAATGCTATCACGCGCTTGAATAATTTTGAATTTAAAAAAAGAATAGAAAGTTGTAAGTTTCTTTGAAATCAACCAAAATAAGAGTAAAATATTATTTTTATTACCAAAATATATATGAGCGACAAATTTCCCTTTTAATTTGAAACCAACTGAAAATAGTATTATTGCATTGTGACAATATGTCACTATATATGACTAGACATTTCATGGTAGATTTTGCTATTATTGACATTATTATTTGGAAATAAAAACATTAAGATTTTATTTTTTTTATTTTCCTATATTTTACTCCTATATTAATCTTTCTCAATTTCTCTTCAAAATCATTGGAGCGCTAATATTTTTTAAAAATTAATGCGAGTGAAAAGAGTAATTAAATT